TATATATATATTAGAATTTCCCAAAATTCTATAAAAAAAGACTCATTTCCACTACTTCAGCTATTTGGCCAACACCTTTATCAGATTACAGCACCAACAGACACGCACAACTAAAATACACATTCATCCTATTTGGTCTCCATAGCAACAGCCTCCGGCTCTTTGCACCACGCTGTTCATCCATAAGACTGACCTGAGCGCCTGCCTGAACCCCAGCATTACCCTTGAGACCCTGCACATTGTTCTGGCGGGAACAAATCCGATTTTTTTCCATCGGTCTGCTCTCTTGTCCAGCTGTTACACACAACAGAACTGCTGGACGGAGGTTGGCAGGCAGCCATCAGAGAAGTAAATGTCACATTGTGACAGGAAAGCCAAGGAAATGTCAGAATCTATGTTGCTGTGCCTGCAGAGCTGATCAGTGGAAGGGCATTGTCTGCTCTATAATACCTCCAGCTGTTGTCTATCTCACAGCAAATGTGATATAACAAAGTAAGGCCTCATAATAGCAGATGATTTCAYGRCCACAGCATGTRTTGTGCAAGGTGTTCAGAATATTTAAATGAAAAATAAATGAAAATTACTATTATTATYTATTGATTTAGAATGTAAAATAAATGGCATGTGAACAAACACAAACATCCAATTTATGGGCCAAACATGAAGCAATGCCTTTTGTTGAAAACATTTAACAACTAAATTTGTTTTCTGCTAAACCTCATTGTTAGGCTACTGATGTTTCTTAATGTGTAGTAAGTCGGAAATTTGCTAAGACGGAAAGATAAAACACTTTCAGATGCACTTTATACCCCCATTTGTATTCACTTCCTTCCATTTCCTGTGCCGTTTTATGTTTGGATGATTTCATTTTTACCATCGTAAAGGGTTGCTTCTGCAAATTTGATTTTATGTTCATCTCTGAAAGCACCCTTTGTTTAGGAGATAGTACCCTAGAATGAATGATGACACTTGGGTCATATACATCTTTGGTAGAGAAAGACCTTAAGCTTGTGCATGTTGTTGAAAACATTTAACCATGTTCCCTAGGGTAAGCTGTGGGAGTGGTCTGTGGGTAGAGGTCCAGTGTTATGGGTCATTCAGTCCTATACACACAACCTGACATGTATACAAAACAATTAAAAAAAAATGTCTTCCCCCACCCTGGAAAACCATTTTTATAGAAGAGGATAAGCATTTTTTTTCTAGTCAACTCCCAGTGTTGATAACCTGCCAGTGCATATACTGTAAAACCTAGCCAGTCTCTGCCTTTTGTTRATATTATCCCCTCTAAAGCGCCCCCTTATTTACCCTTGCCTGTGTCAATGTCTGCCTCAATGCTGAATCTCAGTCAGATTCCAGAGCAACCACAGAACAAAATGTTCAATTTCTAAAGTCCCTGAAAAGTGGATACTTGTATGTGTGTCGAATGATGAAGTAAAAGCAGGTTAGAATAATTTACGGTGGTATTTTTTCATCATAACCCTTAAGATGATAACATAGACATGTACATCTTGATGCTTCCCTACCTGCAAAGTCAGCCATTTCCCTTGGGTAATTTAGATAAAAAAAATAATGAAAAATATTTATAATTTTAATTAATGTGCCAAAAGAAGAGAAAAAAATATGAATGTAAAAAATGCTTCCCTTATAAAATTACGTATAAAAGGTAATTCACTTTTTTTTTGTGGTGGACTTTGTCACAACTACATTATGTAGAATTTCAAAATTAGAATTTTACAGTTTAACAAAAAACAGGAACCCAAAATCTTGTTTCTGAACACTCACTGTTTTCTCTTAAAACAGAGAACATCTTTTCTTCTTTTGTGCCAAACTACGACATGTTCTGCCAGACTGGTAACTGATGCACATATTAACTAACAGCTGTAGTGCCCACCCTTTCAGCAAAGACAAACATCTGCCAACAGAGCCTGACCTGTCCACTTTGTCAGACAAATCCTCCTAATTAGCTTTTATAAAATAATTGCCAAGCGTTTCAGATTCCAATGAGACAGAAATGAGGAAAATACCTCTCTGATTTCCTTAAGTGTGGTACTTTGTGAAAACTGGGAAAAAAAACATGTTTTCATAAACACGCATGCACACATTTGAAGGTTGAACAGTGTGTTTTATTGGCATCTAAGACACCAGAATTTACAATTATTTCTTTACATAGGGGCTTAGACATATAAACTGACAATTTAAATAAATGAGCAAATAACATTTTTAATATTTATATATGCATTTTCATTAAAAAAGGTTATTTGAGACTTAACTGTTGTGGAAAGTGTTTTACCTCTGACTTTCATTAATAAATATCTTATAAATGTAAATTGGAAGCATGTTTTTCCTGATGACACAGAGCTAAAATGATGCAACCTAAATATATATTTATGTTATATTAATGTGGTAAATGAACTGTCCATTTTGCAGTATTTTGTTTTAATATTTAGAATTATTGACAAGTTCAGTTCCATTAAAACAGCTCGAGAGTCGGTCACAGTTTATGTACAACAACTTCTAAGTTTTAATCAAAGAATTAATGGGTATCTGCCACTTTAGAGGTCATAGCTTGTAAAAACACAAGCCATGCTTTGTCTTTTTTTAACCTAAATGCATTTTTTTTTCCACCCTGCTTCATATTCAGGCAAGGGCCATGCGCTGCGGTTGTTCTAGGTTGGCACGAAATTTATCAAGAAACCGAGATGCTAATTCATCATCCACCAGCCGCCCGTCACTGGATAATGTAACCGTCATCAGCTGCTGAGTGCGAAGGGTCTGGTCATCTTCATTCAGCTGCAGCTCGGTCCTAGAAGTCCCAACAGCAAGGATACATGCCTGAGGAGGGTTGATCACAGCACTGAAGCCACTGATTCCAAACATCCCTAAGTTAGATATACTGTTGCCAGGGGAAATGTAGGAGAGAAGAGGAAATGGGATCAAAGGAGAACAGAGACAGTGCACAGATTACAGTTACAGTCAAGGAGAAATACAGAAACATTAACTGACATGTTAACATTAGTAATAACTGCAATAAAGTAAAAATAACTGATATTTTCTAAGAACATTTTTCATTTTACAAATAATTACAATGAGCAGTCAAGATTAATACAGCATCACCAACCTTTAAGATGCCCTTTGACTAGAGGGCACTGTGCRGTTTGCTTTAATGAGAGGTTTTTCCCAAAGAAAAAAATAAAATTAACTAAAGAATAGTGTACAAACTTATCTTCAGCGGGTCAAAGAGTGCTGCATCTTTATGGAAATGTTTTGTTTTAGCATGACACAGAAACCTCCTTTACATGTAAATGACACCATTAATTCTAATGGGTTAAAAAAGCCTCCTTTTCTACTTCTCTGCAAATATGGTTCAATAACTGATAGTTTTGCATCATAATCACATTCAGTTCAATTCCACACAAATTGCATAATATTTATAATAAATTGTCTTCCCTGGAAACTGAAAGTTAGTCATAACAGCCAAATGTTATGAAGACTTTCAGTTTCATGATGATATACAGTAGCTATGGAAATTTCTGTGTTGTTCTTAAACAACATGAAATGCCACATTAATACAGGGTATTATTAGGGGAAGTCTAGAAAATAAAATTGAGTTTTCTAATGTTTAATAATGTTGTACATTTTCATACTATCTTTCTAATCAAACAAACAAAACAAAATTGCTTACCTGAATGAGCCCCCCTGGTACTCCTCAGGTAAAAGTTTCCCATCTCTAGCTTTCTGGGCCAGAGTCTGTGAAAACATTTCAAACCATTTTAATTTTGTTTTAGGAATAAAAAAAAAAATCAGTATAATTGAAAGAATAGGAAACTAATGCAGTGACAAAAAATACATAGAGGCTACTGTATGTAACACAGAACTAAAGTCCATAACAGCTAAAAAGACCAGTATGATTTATTTCAAAGCTCCATTTGTCAGACTGTTACAGCAATTAAAGCCAGTGCTGACCACAGACTACTTTGTGTTTATAGCTTAGAAAGAGTATCTGATTAGCTTTTACTTAACTGTAACTAACCAAGTGATCATTCACAATTTTGATTAGATTCTGTTTCTAATCAGCTTTGTTTGAGATTGTAGAGATATAATCTGAGACAAGGTATAGATCATGAGTAAAAAGCCACTGTTTAATATTCAGAAACTTCTAGAGAAATGCCACTGGGATCAGTTTTCAGAAATCGTGTTGAGGAAGATGATTAAATGCTCCACATCAAATGCCTATTTCAATGGAAACAATCAGACTGTGCACAGCTAAATTCCCTTTGTTCATTTTAGATTTGCACAGAGGGGAATGTGAGACATCTGGTGTGGGAAAAAAAAAAAAAAAAAAAAAAAAAAGACAAAAATGCATTACTTTAGCCAGCTTCTATGAGCATTGGCTTTATTGCAGAATGAGTGACAAGAATTTCAGAAAGGAACAAAGACTGATCACGTGAATAAACTAAAAACAATACAACAGTGCTTTAAACACCGGTCTCTGTTTTTGTAAAGTATTGAAAATCTTTGAGTAGCCTTGTGTTTATTGTACGCTTCTCATGAACTCATTTCTTTATGTAAYTGACAGCTGTCCATCAATAAACCAAATGAAAGGTGTTGTACTGAAATGCTTCATAGCTGGTCAGAGAAGTACATCCATTTGACATTAAGGCATCATGAAAACACGAGTCTATTGTTTCTTTGCAACAGCTAGTGGCTCAATCACACAGAATTTTCTGGCAGAGATGTGGCAACTGTTAAGACATRCAGCAATCATTCACTGCAGGTGTGAGACATGCATCTTTGTCTAGAAAATTTTATTTATTTGATCAACGAGTGAAACAGTGCGAGGCTCATCAAATTGTGTAAGCCTGCACGTGTATCAGACTGTGAGCTCAGATCCATGACTTTCTAAGTGAATCATTGTATCCACCCATTGACTTGGAACAAGTGAAAGAGCTGATCAATGTTGTATTATACTCTGTCTGTGGTTAGTGACACCTAAAGTGCAACCAAACAACAYAAAATACCCTAACTGTTGACTCTCTATAGCTATTCTATAACAAACAAGAACAAAAATTTCCCACAAGATTTGCTTTCTACAAATGTGAAACACTTAAATTAATTGTACACTCCATATATTTACATACACAGAACAYTGAAGCTCTGATTTAGTATAAAAAAAGTTTCTGCTCCAATGCTAGAAGAACATTTGACACTAAATTCCTGCTGGGCAAACATGCATTTTAAAAGGTTTTATTGGCTTAAATTCATTGTATCCCACATATTTACCTTAGCATTGGCTGAGATTTCCTGCACTCCTTTGTTTGCAGCATCCCTGATGATAGGAGTGATGAGGCCTTTGTCAGTTGCCACAGCGATTGAGATGTGGATGGAGTCGAGTGCATGGGGTCCATCATCAAACCAGGTAACATTAACTTTTGGCATTTCCTGGGCGGAAAATATAAATAAAAATCAAAGCAGTTTGAGCATTGAAAATCTCCAACAACAAATGCAAATTCTTACAATTGTAAAAAGAAAAAAATTTTTTCAAAAATGTTGGAAATGATGTCCAATTTTATACAATATCTACTTTCAAAAAATGAATTTGTAAATGTGCATTTCTAAGGTTTTTCTTTAGTTTATAAATGTGAAACTTGCTTTGAATCATAAACTATATGAACTACGTGTGTTTGTCCATGAGCTTTGAACAGATTGAAAGGCCAAAAAATGACATGTTTAGACAAACAGTTTATTAATTATAAAACATTTCAAATGATGAACACAGAAAGTCCCATTATAAAATTACAGGTTTAAAAAACAAAAAGGGAAAAGATTTTGAATACTTACTTTTAGTGTAACAGCTGCTGCCTTGATTATGAAATCGTTAACGGATACTTTAATTTGTTCTGTAAAAACAAGAAAAAAGTAATGYATGAAACTGATTAAAACAAATAAAATAAACAATTTTATCTTACTTCACTAAAGTACTAAGGAAAAGATGTAGCTTAATAATCTTCCATTTTTAAATAAAAATGTGATTTTAGTCTTCAGACATTTTCTGCTCAGTGATAACATTAGTGTGACACAAAAAAAATGCAATTTATTATTGACAAACAACAAAACATTCAAATCAACCTTCCTCTAAAAACTCAGGCCCAACCTTTTGCTTCACTTCCCCCTGCCTCTGACATCAGCGAGCCAGGCTGGTTTCTGCTGCCTTTCACCTTTTACTAGCAACAAATAGTGCAGTACCAGACAGTTATGAACGAGTGAGTGGGATGATTAATGAGCTAACCGTGAAATCACACTGCTCCCGAACAATGAGAGCCCAGAAAAACAACCGGGCAAGAGAATCCCTCGGTACACACACAGCCTTGCTAATAGGTCTGGAATGGCCGTCCCATTTCCTCCATCATAGACACATAACCCACAGAGATTTACTGTTTGGTTGACAGCTGGGTAAAGTTAAATAAAATAAAGTCAATTATGTGATAGTGTGTTTAACTAAATGCTTTAAAATAGAAACCCAACATACTGGTCAAGAACAATTTGACTCCATAAGGGAACTTGCTGAATTGTGGACGTTGAGACACATGAACAATGTTCCCTCTTTTCTGGTTGTGGTATTAACCCCCCTTTACTTTCGACACACACATCCTGATTTCTGTTGCACAAGCTGCCGTTTGCGAAATAACTGCTGTTAGAGCTGATTGTAAGGATGGGAAAGTAAAAAAAAGTTTAGTAAAATGTGAAGAAGACTAGATAATACTTATTTTACAAGCTCTGGCAGCTCTGGTCTTTAAAGTAAAGTATGTCTAAAGCAAAACTGGACTGAGGTTGGTATTTTTGCTAAATGCTTCCTTCACAAAGGGGTGAGTGAAAAATCAAATATGTTTGATGAATTGTGCGTTGTTCCACGTTAGATGTCCTATAATTTGCAAATGTCAAGTTTTAGCTGATGGAGAAAGAGGAGAAGGTAAAAACAATAATAAGTAAATAGTTCAACATGAGTTAACAAGCATTCAGATGGTAAAATTATAGACCGTTGTTTCTGAAGTAAAACATCATCTGGTAGTGGTTAGAAAAATACATTAAAAAGATGATTTACTAAACATTAATAAATTAAGAGCCAATTTAAAACCATCTTGATTTGTATTGTGATTCCAGATGTGATGCAGTATTATGCAAAGTTGTTAGGAATGTCTCCAATACAAAATGTATATTTTCTAATGGCTCATTTATTTGGCAGTCAACCTATTTTTATTTATTTATTTTTTTCTAAATTGGGTAATAGAAATGTCAGCAACTCACAAGAACTTGAGGAATGGTTAAGCAAGGCTACTAGAAATGTGCTTGGCAGCCAAACAGAAATACAGCTGATGTTTGTATGACTCACTGAAAATGCTAAAAAAATACACATTCCAAGTGGATGCCCCTTTGAGCTGCTAGTGGAAGTAGAACACGACTTGGGTGGCTTTTTATGATCAAAATCAGCTTTTCAGAWAGTGGATGCAACTTTTCCTGTAAACGCATGTTCTCAGAAATTTGTTGTAAGATGGTTAACTTTTCTGCTGAGCTAATTTGTCATGCACACTTCCTTCTGTAGAAGTTGATAACAAAACTAAAGTTACTGATGTTGAAGTAATTAAGAAACTATTTTTAGTAATTAAACTATTTTTGAGTGTTTTATGTGCTGCAGAACAGGAACCTGCTGTAAAACAGCAATTATGCTGAGTCAGGCTTGATTTTAGTAATCTTTTCCTTTTAAATCAATAAATCAATTAAATCAAATCAACTAACATTCAGTTCTGTTTTCTACTAAAGTGGATAAAAAAGGTGATAACAGCTAATATGTGCCTCAAAGTTCTCAAGATGTGTGGCTTTGTCTGATCTACTTCTAAAAACAAGTAAGAGCAGCTTAAACAAACAAAAACAATGTTTTATATCTTTTATTTTCTGAGAAAACAGAACAATTTCATTAAAAAAATTGCTCAGGATGAAGGACACGGTAATGTAAGGTCTTGAACCTGTAGCTCGGACTTTAGGCACTTACAAATCGTAAATTGACTAGACAACCAACCTGTTAACATGTAAATTACCAGTTCAGAGGACCTACTCCTTTTTTTCAGATTTTTCTACCAGAATTATTCAGATGCATGTAAATTTATTTATTTATTTATTTATTTTAATAGGGAACATGCAACATGTCATTTCACCTTCATGGAACTTAGGACTTTTAAATCCTACACTCAGTGAAGGTACTGTGTATGTGAGAAAGTTTGGTCATTACCTTTGCCAAGATCTTTGCGGAGCTGCATGACAGCAGCCATGTCACAGTCAATAGAAGCATACGAATGGGGGATGGTAGTCTTTGACTGGGTCAGTCTTTGTGCAATCACTCGACGGACGTTTGAGGCTGGGATCTCTGTGAAAGTTCCCTGAGTAGGACAAGTTAAGTGGGGAGAAAGAACAGTATAAGAGGCCAGAGGTGGGAAACAACTTTTCATAAAAATACATCAGTCAAAGAAATGTTACACAGCAATCTACATTAAGGGCTCAGACAAGCAAAGACCTTGTGTAGCGTTTGACCTTGATTTGTGCTTGGGTTTTAAAAAGTGTATGTGACACTCTGCCAGCATGCCTTCAACAGACGTATAAAATAACTAAACAGCCAGGCAGAATTTGGTTAATAGCTAACCTGTGCTCCAGGTTTTCCTGGTATAGAAAGAGGAGGGATGTTGGGTCTGCTGCTTGGAGGCGGAGGGGGAGCTGCTGAGGTGGGGACAGAACTCGGGACAGGTGGTGGGCCTGCTGGTGACACCATGGCTGGCATTGCTTTGGAGGCAGGAGAAGTCTTTAAAAGATTCAATGCATCTCTGGTAAAGAAAAAAAACAGTTATGGGACAGATACTGCACCTGTGAAAAAAACCTGTATAAGAGTCTATGGAATAATTTATTTTTACCCTAAGATATAAAACAAAATACTGTACATATATTAATA